TGGCTTCAAGTTAGGTAAATCTCCCTCTTCTATTTGATATGCTCCTAGGTATAGTGCCCTTGGATTCTGAAGTGCTCCCCATTTAGTTAGAATGTGAATGAAGATTTTTTCCTCCTCCTCACAAAATCTGCACTATCTTCTACTACTCTCAGTTTACTAAGGGTCGATTCCACCGTTGTGTTAAACGAAGTTTAAATTACTAAACGAATATTAAAATGACCTTGGCATATATATAAAATATCATTTTACTCTTCGTTTAACACAACGGTGGAATCGGCTCTAAGGTGTCATTTTAGTTGGCAATGTCCAGTAAGGATCCCTGTTACAAGTGTTCTCACTACTAGAAAAAAGTATATTATGATAACAGCTTAAAATACAATCTGGCTAATGTGGAACACCCCGAAAGCCTTGCCAGACTCGTTTAATGACCGTCAGGCGCGGTAAATTCGGCACGTTCGATTACTATTCCTCTCCTCGTTTAACTACCTGGCTTGTCAGGTCCGACCGAAATACGGTTTTATAACCGAAACAGAAACCAAATTTCGGCTCCTTTTTTAGTTTCGGCCGAAACAGGAACAAGAACTTTCTTTTAAGGCTTATTGACATTTGCAATATCTCATTGTAATCCTTGTTTTAGACTAATTAACTCGTATTATAAATTTTAGCTACATTTACTTATTACCTGTTTATTTATGTGATCAAAAGAAGCCATTAATAAATTTATTGACATGTTCACTTGAAACAAAGCAAAGAAGTTTGTGTGTACGTGCACTGTGTAGGAATGGCACCCGGCACAGTCGCCATTGTGCCGGACACAACCAATTGTGATACGAAAACTTTTAAAAGTAGTTTCGCTGTCGGCTGCAGTTTCGGCCAGTTTTCCGCCGAAACCGAAACTGTAGTCGAAACTATTATTTAAAGCCAAAGTTAGCCGAAACCGTAACCGAACCTTCGGTCGAACACTACTTGTGAGTCTGGCAGGCCTCCGTAATTGTAATCGTCAGCCAGACGTGTATTTTCACTTACGAATATTTTGAAATTTATCCTAAGTAGATGGATAATGTTCTTAAAATATGCGTGAGTGTGCAAAAATTTACTGATAATAATTTAGGCACGTTTTTGGTATTGGGTAAGAAAGTTTTACACCAAAATATCCAAATTTCAAAACTTGACAGACATGCATTAAAACGACTAAAATCAAATTTTCAAAGGTAGCCATACCACAGAATAAAAAACATATGTTTTATATGCTGTGGCCATACCATGACCATTTATCATATTTGAAGTCGTTTAGTTGACGCAAAAAACCTAATTATTATTTTACATAAAATAAATGTAGTGTATTTCTACCTAGTTATAATTGGTATTAAATAAAATATTAACCACTAAAATGGCAAATTTTTTATATGCATGAAAGAGCTGCTCAACTGTCAAAAAAGTTTTCAGTATAATTTCGTTAAGGGTACCCACCAAAAGAAAAATTTCCGGAAATTTTTCTGGTTGTCATGAAAGTGTTTTGAAATAACAGCAGTTGATTGGCTATAAAATGGAGGTGTAAAATTATAATTTAATCTATCACGTGACACATTTTCAAACCCGGGAAAATAAAAGCAAAAATATTATATTTTTTCCATTTAGAAGATATTACCAGATTCATTAGCCAATTTCGTAAATCAGCCAGACTTATTATTATAAACAGTTCATGATTGTATCAATTTATATGCTCAATTTTCTGCCACACTCACTTTCCACTATCTGAGATAATCTAAACTGCTATTTTTATAAGCTTTATGTTCTAGTTTATAGTAAATGTAAAATAGTTATGACTGGGAAAATAAGTGTCAGACTCAAAAATTTTGTTTTTTGTCACTAAGAGAACAGTTTATTTTTCATATACACCGACTGGAAAAATGAATACGAAAAAAATTGACTGCCTCCTGAACTAAATATAAAATTGCAGAATAAATCAAATGGCACGATTCTTTTTATTTTTTAATTTCTGTTCTGAAATCTGAAATGTTTGGGTGGATGTGTGATAAATGTTCGAATTATTTTTGGGGGAGCTAATTTGATTTTTGGGGGGGCTTAGCCCCCCAAGCCCCCCCTTAACTTCGCCCATGATTAAAAGGTGAATCCTTTTAACTATTCATTCAATGATAAATAGATATTTTCCTTCCAAATACAGATGGTGGTATTACTCTCTTATGTGAAAAATGATTTCGGAATCTAGTCCACTGATAAATTGATTATCAATTAGTTGTACCCATTTGTCTTTTTATGATGCAGATACATGGTGAATCAATGAAGTTTTTCTCGAAGTTTTCAACGTAGCACCAAAATTATTGCAAAACACAGTAGGAAATAGAAAAGCGAAACATCACAATTTTGCAAATAACTAAGACGAAACTATAAACAGAAACCAAAGCCAACAAAAAATCACTAAAATCAGACGGAAAAATGAGACTAACCAAGAAAATAAATAAATACACGTCACATCTTTGGAGTCTGTGGTTGTTTTTCTCCCATAAAGCTTAAAAATGGAGTAAGAAATCATAATTTCACCAGTAGCCCCATCTAGAGTTTGGAGCAAATAGCATAAAAAATGTCAGTTGTCGGTTTTGACCTTGGTCATTCACGTGGAACCTCTATGTGCTTTGTGGTGTCTGCGCATTTTCGGAATGGGAGAAATCACCTCCAGTTCACTATTTACAAATAGCAAAATAAAAAAACGTCCTTTCGACCCTGGCCGAATAGAACTAGATAATCTACAAGAAATAGACTCATCAAATCCGAGTTTGAATTTCATTTCGGTACATACGAAAATGTTTTAAACTACGATCCCCAGACAGCACACCAAATCCTTTGGATATCTACTGAACATCCCAATATCCACTGAATGTCCAGTCCATGGTGGATATCTATTTTATATCCATGAAATGTAATTTATAGACATGCAAATGTCCATAAATAATTGTAATTATATAGCAAATTATTAAAAAATTACGCCATTGTACTCGCCATTGTGGCTAATAGTACCGTTGAGATATTTAAAATTAATTTTTTTTAAGGTGTATTCAATATCCCATGGACATCCACTATAAATATAAATATATCAAAGTCTAAGCGCGGACGCAAACCATCGTGGATATCTACTAGATGTAATTTTTGATTTTGCTTCCTAAGTATAGATGGCGATACCACTTTCGTATCTACTCATGCTTAACCCGCCGTAATTGAGTTTGATCGACATTGTTTCAAAAACAGACTTCATTAGAGACTGAAGTCGAGAAGTTCCATTTATTGCTGAAGATTCCTAATAAGGATGATTTTCTCCTTAGTAGGCAAAATCAAAGGCAGATTGTTGGGAATATTTTTTACCTCTATTTTCTTTCGACGTTATTCAATAAACATTGGTTACTTATGAACCTCTACTAAAAATAATTATAAAATATTTTTCTGAATTTCTATATCCTGGGATATAGACGGACATTTGGTTGGATATCCACAAAATATATTCTATGGATATATCTGGGATTGGGTATTGTCTGGAGATACTCATTAGATATTTTGCTGAATATCCATAGGTTATCTTCTATATTCTGGATATAGACGGACATTTGGATATCCATATTAGTTCCACGGAATATTTCTGATTTCCTGTGGATATATTGGATATCCACAAAATATATTCTGTAGATATCTCTGGGATTTGGTGTGTTGTCTGGGGAGGGTTCTCGCAAATGTTTAAAACCGGCAATTTCTAGGACACCAAAATACGGGGGCTCTTCGAAACGTTCCCAGGCAGAAGTTAATTAAAATATACAATTTATACACTAATCGAAATTAAAATTTAGTGACTTCGTCACAATAGACAAGTTCAATGGTTAAATTATACTGATAACTCGGCTCTAAGATTCAACGGCATGTCGGATAATTCTGAATACAACAACATTGCCGGATATCAGGCATCGTGTATCCGGTATCCAACACATATGAAAAGAGCCTTAGCACCTATCTAGCCAGTTTAGTCCTAGATTGTATGCATAATGTCTGAAAAACCTCCTCTATTCATTTAAATTATATACATTTGTCTAGCTACAACTTGTGTGTATAATAATAATTTTTTTATAAGACTCAAAGCTTCATCCAAAAATGAATAGATGTACAAGGAGATAATAATTTAAAAACACAATACAAGAACTAAATATAAAAATCAAATATAAAATTAATAAAAAAATACAATATAAAATTATCAATTCATTTAGGACCGATTCCACCGTTGTGTTAAACGGAGATTAAAATGACATTGTTAATGTAAAAATATTATTTTAAACTCCGTTTAACACAACGGTGGAATCGGTCCTTAGTAAAATAGCGCATTTGTCAGAATTTTACAGATAAAATAAATTCTCTTATTGTTTCAAAAATAATTAAAAACTTTTGGATTACACAGTGTAATTATTATATGAATGATTTTTCAAAAAACGTCCTCCTCACAATTTATTTTGCTCTTTGAATTAATACGATTCGATTTTGTTCTACAGAGCGGGCAATAAAATACGATTGTGGATTTGTTAAAGCGCTCAAATGAAGAGCTTGTAATGAGAAATCGAAAAGTCAAATAAAGTTTTTTTATTAATGGGCTTCAAAATATTTTACTTACAAATTTTTAATTTTGCAAATCTACACAATAATTGTTGTATTTTTGCGCACCCTATACAACAAAATTAAAGTTTCTCATCGTGAATCGTATTTATTTAACCTTTAACCACAAAAATTACTTTTTTTTTAGTCTTAAATAAATATTTTTTCAAGTATTTTTAAGTCCACCCGCAGTCGTTGCTAAGCAATATAAATGATAGACAAGTCATAATTTTTGTGCATTTATCTAAGACACCTCTGTACTTTTTTCAATGAAATGGACTACAAGTACTGTAAGAGAAACATACGATTTTTTGAAGTTAAAACCTGTAGGTATTTATTAATAGTTTTATTTTCAGGAAAAAGACCTAGCAGTGTTCAGATAAAAGCCGCAAAAGACTTCTTAAAATGCGCTGTGGAACTTAGAGAACTTCATGAAGATTATAAATTATTTGGGGCAAGACAAGTTAGCCAAACAGCTAGTCCTGGTCTTTACTTGTATACCGAAATCAAGGACTGGCCTAATTTCAACAGTTCACCATGATTTTTTTTTAATTCTTTTGTATAGAAATATATATTTTTACAAAATATGGTTTTATTTAAAGATTTGATTAATTTAATGTATTAAAATATAAATAAACAGAACTCACTCAATGGTATGTATTTAGTGAACTGTATGGAAAACTATATTTTGGAAACTAGTTTTTCTTACCTTTAAAATAATTCTGTATCCCGTCTCGAATTTGATGTACTTAAGGAAAATATTAGGAAAGGAAAAAAAGAATATACATCGGTAATTTCACTTAACATTAAAAAATCAGAACCGGCTTACAAAATGGTCGGATTAGAATCTTTTTCTAATTAACTATCGGTGATAAGTAACGAAGTACGACTGATCATTTAACGCTATATTTGAAATAAAATATATCTGCCATATAGGCAACACAAAATACCGAATAGACCAAATCTTAAATATACATCGGCCAAAACCACATACTTTGATTTTTTTTCTTTTACGCCAAAACACACTCATATGGGGCCTAAATAGTGAAATTGGCTTAACCCGATACTGTGCCTTAAAAGAGGACAAGAAGTGACGCGCCATCTATAATGGAACGTTGATATTAGATTCTTTCATTCGTACCACAGAACAATTACTTTTAGAATGGAAACTGCAATGTTAAAATTTGAGACAGTTTTGTAACACCCGGTGAGCGTTCTTTGAACTATTTGGCGGAAGTGGCGCCATCTCGCGGTCACTTTAGTTAACACAAAACGCGGGAACATTCAAAATGGTCCTTCAATTTTTAGTTTAAAAGTGGTAGTCAAATTAAGATTTGTTCATACCAACTCCTTTTTTACGTTTATTGTAGCAATAAAATTATATTTGTTACAATAAAGCAAAAAATGAGTAGTATGAACCAATCCTAACTTGACTACAAGTTGAAATATTTTTACAAAAAATTAAAAAGCCCGATCAACAAAATTAATTTATTAAAACAAAAAAAAACATACAAAATAGAATAATTAAATGTAGCGTGTTAATTAGCTGGAAAGTTAAGTCATTGTCCACAGAGGTTGAAGAGTTTTATCTAAAACAAAAAATAAATAATAATCAACTTATAAATCAAAAAGGGTACAGGAAGAAAAAAGTAGCTAAGCCACATTTTTATCAAAATTGAACTGGTCCGCCCTATTTTGTAAAATACCAGTATTAGCAAATACAAAACAGTGCATTTAAAATTATGTCCAAGGACTTTCCTACTGTTTGTCATTTTCAGTTTTTAGAATAAAAAATTACAACTGTCTGGTAAATTAAGTGGTAAACTACAATATAATCAGGCAACATTTAAACAAAGTAACATCTTTTTGTAATCAATTACCTTAAAGTATCAAAAGTTTGTATTTAGTCAGTCTAAATTAAATTTGGTTTTCTGAACATTTTGGTAATTGTAACTAGGCCCCTTTTTTTCCTGAACCCTTCAAATCTGTTGGGGAGCACAGAAAGTGAGGCATAAATAAAAAAAGGTATACTGACCATTACTTCCCGGACTAGGCTATTTTGTCTTCCACAATCCAATATTGCCATTCCAAAGGGCTTGAAGAAAGTTTGTACTAGAACAAATAAAAAACAGTAAAAGTAACAATCTGAACTAAATCAATATAAAAATCAAATGTGAGGCATGAATACAAAAAGTACAGTGACTATTACTTCCCTGACTAGGCTGTTTTTGTCTTCAACGATGCAATACTGCCACTCAAAACGGCTTGAAAAAGTTTGTACTAGAACAAATAAAAATACAGTTAGATCGCTGCGTGCACTAAGAACTTTAAACATATCTTCAAAATGTTTATCACATACTAAATAGTTTTTACAAATTTGTTGTTTTATTCTTGAAAAATGGACTGGGAACACCCAATACTCAAATTTGAAATAAATCGTTACTAGGATTTCAGAGTGTTTACAAAACAATTTGGCATACAACAATACGATATATTACAGCTTTTATAACTAAAAATGACCACAAAAATTTAAAATAAGCTCAATCGTCAGCAAGATCAAGTAAACAAATTGAACATTTAAAACAATTGAATAAGACCAAGTTGACAATACAATAAACAATTATTTACAAAATACTTACTATTTATTCATCCAGGATCCAGAGCACACCCAAATACAAACAAATAATAATTATTGACAATATGAGGCGAGTTCGGTCAGTCAGGGGCTGGAGCGGGACAAATTTTAGGGTGCTTTTAAATGATATTTAAGCGTGTTAAACTGTCACTAATCGGACTAAACCGAACGCTAAAAGAGTCGTTTGGAGTTAAAAGTGTTAAAGGAGTTAAAGGAACGTGGCAAACCGAACGCAATGATGATATTTGCTGCGTTTGAGAATCCACATCGGATGCATCTGAGATGTAAAAAATCTTTGATCACGTGATGCAGTATACGTAAATGTAATGGGACAGATGTGTCCGATGTGGATAAAAAAACGCTCGAGATGTAAAAAATGCATCCGATGTGGATTCTCAAACGCAGCATTTGATAATCACAAAAAATACAGGTAAAAATGGCAAATGTCATTCACCGCGAGGTAATCGATAATGGATGCCTGACAATGACAAATGACACTCCCACTCTTTCCACCATCAATTGTAGATTTCTGTAAATTGTTGTGTACAGCGACATCTAGAATCTGTTCTTTGAAACAAAAATATAGTTTCAGCTCGGGCTATACCAGTTACCGATACCTGATTCAGCTACTGGATAGCTATTCACTGGCTGCGTTCATCCGCGCCACATGCTACCTGATCGATCTGGTAGCGCTCTCGAGTGGCACGTATGAACGGTGTATTTTGACATTTCGCTCAAGGAGCGGCCGCCATTAAAAGTAGCGCATTTTATTTACGTCTGATCGGTGATCACTGATCTGTCTTACGCACTTACGTCCACGGTTTGCTTGGTGACTAGTAGGGTTATATTAGCATATTAGCAATTGAAAAATAAACAAACAAATCTTCAACCAGAGACATTGTAAGGGGTTTTCTCGCCTCAGAGAAAACGATTACTTACAAATGACGCCTGTTGACGGGACGGCTCTCGGGCGCCAGATTTGATGTGTGGTTTACTCCACAATCTTTCGAAACGGCGTCGAAAGTACTCGGGCAGCACAGATGGAGATGAAAAATTCCAGGGGTCGTTGGTCACTCAGACACAGGTAATAAGTAACCACAAGTAACGGGCTTTAATCGTCACTTGTAGTGATAAAGAATTTCTCACTGCTGAAATAAAGGGGGAAGTAAATTAGGGATCAGTAACCTCAGTAACAGTCAAGGTAACGTTGACACATATATTGAATTTTAACTATTTACAATAAAAAAAATAAATAAATATTTCAACGCCCACCCCTGCTCGTAATTTTAAAACCCTGAACAAAATAAAAACAAACAGATCGGCCAGTAATGATTAGTCTCAATCAGACGGTAGAATTAAATTTAGAAGAAAGATGCTCGGTGGCAATAGTATCTAATTAATAAATTTGTCGGATCGGTGGTTGAGCCAAAACGAAACCAAAAACAAATAATAGCGGTCGTAGCAAAAGTTAATTAGTTAACTCTTAAATCGGCATAAAGATTACAGTTAAATATTTTGTTTCGTAAAAATAAATTAAAATCACGGTCGTAGTAAAAGTTATCTGGTTAACTCTCTAGTCGGTATTGAAACTGAAACAAACCTCCTTGTTTTAGTGAATGGGGAATAGATAAATGATAAGAAAACGGGATAGTATCAATCCTATGAGGAGTGCACTCGCCACAACCAGCACGCTCAACATAAAAATGATACTATCATTTTAATCACGGCACGGAGGTAACTAAAAGAAAATAATCAAAATCCGGGTTAGTATTTAATCCTATGATGAGTGTACTCGCCACAACCAGCCCACTCAAACACAAAACCAAATATCAAACCGGGTCAGTATTTATCCTACGATGAGTGTACTCGCCACAACCAGCACTCTCAAACATAAGAAAAACACTAATATGTTAATCACGGATAGGGGTTAATTTAAATAAAATCTAAAACCGGGATAGTATCTAATCCCATGTGAGCTTTCTCGCCACAACCAGTCCACTCGACATGAAAAATGATACTATTTCAACTTTCCAACTTTCGAACTAATTCTATTCCCAAGTAAAGAAACATAAATAAAAAAGTTAAACCAGATTGTGAATAAATAGAAACAAAATTTACGGTCGTAGTAAAAGTTTAGTAATTAACTATGTACGGAATTTAATTTAAATTTATTATTACTTAAAAAAAAATTAGGAACAAAATCCACGGTCGCAATGAAAATTAACTAATCAACTGTATATGGAATTTAATTTGAAATTAGGTTTACTATTACTGTAAAATAGAAACACACTTCACGGTCGTAATAAAATTAATTAATTATTAAAATAGAAACAAAGTTTCTATTTCCTAGTAACCAAAAAAAAAAACTAATTTTCAATGTTTCTAAATAAAATCAAAACTAAATAGTTTATCTGTAAATCAAAATATTTTTAACGAAAATCTGAAATCAATTATTATTTCTCTTAAATAAAATCGAAAACGGAATAATTATTTCAAATGAAACCTGTATTCGAACGTTTTTAACTCAAGAACCATCGACAAAAAAAATATGTAAACAAATTCGATGTACCTAACTACGGTATCGGCGATAATTTTCAGCGGTGTATATCGGAGCAGAAACAGGAGAAGCTAGTCAAATCGGTAACGTGAATTGAATGATTTTTAATAATCCGAATTCTGAATTCCAGTCTCTATGCCCAAGCAGGCTAGCTCCCCACTCGATGTGCGCGAAGCGCGCGCGCTTTCGTTACTCAGGTAAAATACGCGAATTTAAATGAAACAAAATTTTATATACAGGGTCTACCCATGAAGTTAAAATAAAATAAAAATTGAAATTTATATCCGGAATAGGCCGAAATATAGTAATGAAAATTGACTTCATTACAACATTCAACTCAAAAGTAAAATGAATAAACCAAAATCAAATGTCACTTTTTAAACATGGTTCATCCGTGCATAAAGATCGATCAGGTAGCGTAAGTGATCGCTACTTTTGTAGCGCTCCTTGAAATGGCGCGGATGAACGCAGCCAATAAGTCATGGGAGCGCTGCCACAACTATACCACGGCATAAGAAACAATCGGCAGGCTCACTTGCCGCTGATCGCATACAAATCACATACAATAGGTTCTTTCGTTCGTCCCACTGGTGTAGTTGGGTGTAGTAATGAACTACACCAACCCACACCCATACCTTTCGTTTGGTCCGGTGTAAAACCCACTATATCTTCCTGTCGGCGATGTGGTGTACACTGGTGGATATTTTCTCCACCAGCTATTTAGCAGGAGTGAATTACACTCGAGGATGTGTATAAGGAATAAGGAGGAAGTAAATTAGGGTAAATAAGGTGGTGTAACTGGTGTAATTTACACTGGTGGACACTACACTAATAGCGAACGAAAGAACCTTTTGATTACTATACGGTGCAAAAGAGAGGTCCGACCAATGAACTGGAGGGGGGTAGAATGCCAATGTACATGTTGTACTATTAGAACAAGGTGCGACTCGATGGGCGCAGCCATTTTTATTGTTCATCTCACTCGGAACTATTTATAATAACCATTTTCTGTTTCACATTGTTATTGTTCAATCCACAAGCTGGTGGATCAGACAATAACAATGTGAAATAGAAACTGGCTATTTTAAATACTCCCGAGTGAGATAAAAAATAACCTATCTTCGCCCATAGAGTCGCACATCAAGCCTATTGACAAGCATTCTACCCCACTCCAGTTCATTGGGTCCGACACGCCCAACATAGGGCGCGGCCATTTTGATTCCTATGCCACAGTTTATAGCTAAAGAATCAGATCGCTCACTCTGCGTCGGCACTTTTGATCTTAATGTTCCAGTTTATATACTGCGCAACACAGATAATACAATATATGACAACCGCCTATAATAAAACAGCAGTCTTCTGCGTATCCTGAATTTGTATCCCTGGAGTGGATGTTATTTTAGAACTTTCAACTGTCCCGAGTGAGCTAACTGATTCTTTAGCAATAAACTGTGACTCCAAAAAGAATATTCACTGACACCACATACTTTGATTTTTTTTTACTATACGGAGAATGGTCGCACTGCGCAGCTTTCTGAGTGCCTTTTAAAAGGAGATAGAAAACTCCGCCATTTTGAACCCTTATTACGTGTTGCCTACATCTTGGCGCAATATTTTTAATAGGTGCGTTTTAATCATCCGCTTCTGCTTCGGAATTGTCGGTTTTCTTGTTTTAATCTGACAGGTTAAAACGACTAAACCGACAATTCCGGAAGCAGAAGCGGATGATTAAAACGCACCTGATATTTTGCTTGCTGCTGTCAGTGTCAGTGAATATTATTTTTGAAGTCACAGTTTATTGCTAAAGAATCAGTTAGCTCACTCGGACCAGTTGAAAGTTTCAAAATAACATCCACTCCAGGGATACAAATTCAGGATACGCAAAAAGCTTGCTGTTTTATTGTAGGCGGTTGTCATATATTGTATTATCCGAGTTGCACAGTGTATAAACTGAAACATTGAGATCAAAAGTGCCGACGCAGAGTGAGCGATCTGATCCTTTAGCTGTAAACTGTGTCACAGAGTTCAAAATGGCCGCGCCATATGTTGGGCGTGTCGGACCTCTCTTTTGCCTCGTATAGTAATCAAAGTATGTGTTTTAACCTCTCAGATTAAAACAAGAAAACCGACAATTCCGAGGCAGAAGCGCATGATTAAAACGCACCTATTAAAAATATTGCGCCAAGATGTAGGCAACACGTAATAACGGTTCAAAATGGCGGAGTTTTCTATATCCTTTTAAAAGGCACTCAAAAAGCTGCGCAGTGCGACCATTCTCCGTATAGTAGAACCAATGAACTGGAGTGGGGTAGAATGCTTGTCAATAGGTTTGAGATGCGACTCTATGGGCAAAGACAGGTTATTTTTCATCTCACTCGGGAGTATTTATAACAACCATTTTCTATTTCACTTTGTTATTGTCTGATCCACCAGCATGTGGATTGAACAATAACAATGTGAAACAGAAAATGGTTATTATAAATACTCCCGAGTGAGATGAGAAATAAAAATGGCTGCGCCTATAGAGTCGCATCTTGTTCTATTAATACAATATGCACGTTGGCTTTCTACCCCACTCCAGTTCATTGAGTAGAACAGAGCTAAAAGTTGGAAATGCTTTTGCCAGTTCTCCCCTTAGATAATATAATAGCAGATAGGACACCACTGCATAAAGTTATACAATATTAATCTCGCTATCATATAATCAGTATCTCTCTTTCTAATGAAGGCTTTCTCACTCGTTTTAGAATTCTCAGCAGTAGCGTACCGTAAAACAATTTCGCAGGGCCATTTTAAATGCGAATATTGTTGACCAACTAGAATATAAAATAAAATGTTTTAAAAGGTAGGTAGGTGCATTTTTAATGAAGTGAAAACAAAATATGACTTTTTTGTTATGAATATAATATTAATAACAATTACTTTTAACACCACAACACGAACAAATTTAAATTAAACACTGTCTAAGAAAAGCTCTGTAAAACTGACAAATACAAACAAAGAGATAGAGATATTAGTCTATTTCTCTCTAATTAGAATTCTCGACCATATTATCATGGCGACACAAAAATTGTTTACTGTCCTCTCTTTACTACTTACTTACTCTGAGGTTCTCCCACTTTATACACATAACTTGACAGGTTGTCAGCGAAATATCACCGAAGTGGACACGATACATTGGCGTACAAAATTATTTTATAGATGTTAATAACAATTTCGAGTAAATAGTTTAATAAATTGTGAATAGCTGTTGAAATTTTGTAAAATTATAATTTGAATATTTTAATACATGTTTAATAATTATTTATAATCCATAAATACATGCGATTGTCCGGTTCCGCCGATAACAATTTAAAATTACTTATTCTATGAAACGACACTGGCAGGTAAACATTACTGTGAAATTCTCGGAGCCGTCCGACGTGGTTTGACGTTTACCCCTCTCTACCTACCAAAAAAAAAATTCAACTTTTACTTTCTCTTTTTTATAAAAGAAAATCAAAGTATGTGGTACTGGTGGATATTTTCTCCACCAGCTTACCAGCTATTTTAGTAGGAGTGATCAGGATACGTGCTTTGTGGAGTGAATTACATTCGACATGTGTATAAGGAATAAGAAGGAAGTAAACTAGGTAAATAAGGTGGTGTAATTGAGACTGGTGCACACTGCACCAACGGCGAACGAAAGAACCCGTATGGAAGTTCTGCCATGACGTCACAAAATGATATTTGCAAAAGGGGACTTCAAAAGTAGATTTGAGGCTATCCTCTTTAGTAGTGTCAGGCATGGATGATTCCCTCCACATGACGTTGACAGTTAGAGTTAACCTAACCTCAACCTCAAACCATTTTAAATGTAAAATATAAAATAAAATGAAACATTATTGGTTAATTATACTTAAGGAACCTTATTATGTTTACAAATAATATAATAAATTATTACTTTAAGTTTATTTTGTGATATAAACTTTGCTAAATATAATATGTATAAAGTTATATTATTTAATTTAAGGTTACATAAATGTCCTGCTACAGGAGCTGGCAATTTATTTTTAAAGGTAAATATTTATATCAATTATATATTTTATCTAACTTTAGTATTTTTTTTTAGTATTACAAGAACGGCGTTAATTTTATTGTACCTACAACTTCCTATGTAAATCAAACCAAAGCAAAATCGTCACCACCAATTTTATCTCAATTAACACAAGATGATATATCACAATCAATACCCAGTTGTATGCCTGAAAGACCTAAAATCCTCCCAGACATTCGACCAACACCTTCCACTAATACCTCAAATCTTGTTCGACATTACATGAAACTATCCAAAATAAGGCTTACCTGTAATAACTGGAAATTTCTTAATGCAAGTTTATTAATTTTGTGTTTTTTAGCATTAGTAATAATTACATCAATGGCTGGATATGCAGTTGCACCAGCTCCTTTTGAATTTACCACATTTTTATTATGTGCTGTGGGGACTGGTTTGCTCTCTTCAGCAGCAAATTCTATAAATCAATTTCATGAGGTGCCATTTGATGCTCAGATGTCAAGAACAAAAAATAGAGTACTAGTTTGTGGTCAGTTAACGTAAGTAAACTAAAAAAAAAAAACGTAAATAAGATTGAAAATATATTAAAACTGCACTATATTTTTCATAAATTATAAATGGAACGAGCTATTTACATAATTGCCAATGTCAGCATAACATTTTGGATACAAATCAAAACCAATAGCGAATTAAAAATCCTGATACGAAATTCAACAGTGATTTAAAATGCAATGAGCATTAGATTTATCAGTGTCTATTGGATCAAGCTAGTAGGCTTATTCATGTCACATTTAGGGCCAATCTTTTTATCTCTGAGTAAAGTTACATAATTTAATCAGTAAGTAGTTACTTTCAACTTTACTCAGAAGTGAAAAGACTGGCCCTTAGTGAGATAACTGATGCACTGTAGCCAATTATATCCCATTACATTATGTGGTCAATTTTCTCTATAGTGTCACATAACCTCAAAATATCATTGAACAGATTTCTGATGGTAACATTCACATATTATATAAGTATCATCACATGCCATCAATATTTATCAAAAACATTAGTTTGAGGTGACGATCTGTGCTGTTGCCTGTTCATTCGGCTGGTGTGAAATGTGTCTAATGGAGCAGCAAAGTGGAATGTGTCGATTTTATTATCCATTGAATTGATTTCATTATTATGGATGATGAAAACTGATATCTTACCTCAAACAAACCATAAGTTTGTCCTTTGCACTATTGCTTAGGTATTTATAAAAACATAATTTATCATCCTCTAATTATTTGAACGGTGTTTGTCATTCTTTTTCTTGTTTTCTTCACTTAAATTTCTTTTTTAACCAACCCATAAAAGTAGGGATGGTACTGCAATCACTCCAATATTTGAATTTGAGATAATACCAGATCTTTACTTTTTGTGGTCTCAGGAACCCAAAAAGCTTATTTTGAAAAATATCAGGTTGTACATATATAGTGTGTCCCCGGATGGACTCAACTGTACTTGTAAAAATATTTTTATTTAAAAAAAAATTCATTCTCCATAATTTCTTTTGCTTGTTAAATACATACGATTCACGTTGAGAAACTACAATTTTGCCCCTTTTTGGATAATACAACCAAAACTATTTAGCTGATTTTGAAGTATAGGGTTTCCAGGGTCTCCTAAAGAGCTGGTTAGATTTGGGCATAGCCCAATCAGGCCTTCTTTATGAAGAGTCGTTTTTGAACTTTTTGGTATATTTGTGTTATTTATGATTGAAGAAGACAATTCTTCGGATAACAGTTTTTTGTGATATACTAAAATGGATCGTATATATTAGGAGATATTTGATGAAAAGTACAAAATTATTATTTTTCTTGTTGTGGCTGGTATTTAACTTTAGTGGAAACTCTTGTGTTGGTACCAATGATGAAAAACTACTGGATTAATCCATTCACGCATAATTAAGCCCTTTCTTTATTGTAATCATTCAGATTGTGTTTATTATTATGCAGACAGAGCTGCCGCATTAGAAACACAGCTGCTAATTAGGGCGGAGAGGTTTTGTGCAAGTATGTTTATCTGAGAAGCGAGCATGCATTTTATGAATGAATCAGTATTTACTAGGTTACAAGGTTTGCTTTACACTGCTGTCACACTTCAATAGTTGCAACGAGAAAAAATATACCTATTAAACTGTTAATAACTGACATTAAGATTGCAAATATACTTCCTACTGTAATTGTTAAAGCCTTTTGTGCGCTTTGGACCCTTATGTTTAGTCAATACAAAATTATAACCATAAACAATCCTTAAAACAATACTCTTCCATTCCCTTTCATAATAATTTGACAACTACGTTTAACACTGAATGTTTGCATTTCAAATTTTTGTAAACAAAATTAGCCTAGTAGTTTTTCTTTGTTGGTTGGTACATATCAGATATAAATGCGAAAACAATCAAATTTTGGATTGTAAACTATTTTAGAATTTTAATTGCCAATTTCGGACAGGTTTAGGTTGGAAGGTTGCTGCTGTTTCACGATAAGGCGGTTTTTTTAGGTTGATTCTTCATTTCATTCTTATTCAAAATTACCTCAATCATTACTAATGTTCTTTTATTAAATTTCTGTATAGTGCAAATCACACCTCATAGTAGCAACAATCGGAGCAGCAACTACAAATTGATAGAAATAGTTTGAATTTAAATTTACGTCAAGTTGACATTTCCTATACTGCGAATTGACTTTATAATGGCATTCCTCACAGGAATAAATAAGTACTGGATATTTAAGTTGCATTAAACTATACAATTAAATATTTGATACACTAAAATGGTTTATTTTTTAGGCCTTTACATGCGATGGTTTTTGCCCTAGTCACCAGTGCTTCTGGACTTGCAATTTTAAACTATGGTGTAAATAGTTTGACAGCTGGCTTGGGACTTACAAACTTACTATTGTACACTTCAGTATACACCCCATTAAAGAGGATAAGCATTTTAAATACCTGGGTTGGATCTATTGGTAATATATTTTAATATTCTTGATTAATAAATTTTTACATTGGGTAATATCTATCTAAGAAAAATGTTTTTTTAAATATTTAATTATTTTTATATATACAGGGTGAGTCATGAGGAACCTTACAGACTTCTACCATATGTAGAGTCCCTTAAGGGGTATATCATATGAGCATTAAAAAGTGGCAACTCCCCTTCGTTTTGTGAATTTTGACAAAACTTTATATGGCTGTAAAATCTACAAGGATTACTAGATTTCTTTAATTTTTTGGTGGATCATTACACTGGTGTCTAGCATTTAATTCATATCATCAAAAGTTAAAAATTCCAGGATTGGCTTAGGAAAAATTGATCTCGACGATTCATATCAAAAAGTTCGCCCTGTATAATATTTTTTTAAATTATAATAAGATATTTTTAAAGTACATAGATAGACAATCAAAACTGTGTATGTGACATTTTTGTCACCTTTTTTTTATTAAGGTTCGATTTTGGGTAAAACTGAAAAATCACCTTAAGGGGTCACATAAATTATGTTATAACATAAAGAAAACATTGTTAATTGTATGCATTTGAACTAAACGAGCCAAACATAAGCCTTTAGTGAGCTTACTAGATCGTTAAATTCATTTTAGACAATTTCCAGATCCGGATTAGTTCATTTTTAAATTTTAAATAGAAATCGGCCTATTTTTGTAGACTATAGAAACTACTCAACTAAATTAAACATGTCAATAATCTATAAATAAATTGTAGCGAATAACAATAACGAACAATAAATTCACACTTATTAATTAATAATTATAAATGCTATTTATTAACCTCTAATAAAAACTGCACATTTTATTCTTGCAACTAAGATATTATGTGGTTTTATTTTTATTATAAATACATAGTAGGTACCTATGTATCAAGGTAGGTTGTGATAGTTTGACGTTTGTTTGTTCTTATTTATTTGTCATTTGCAACCATTATTTATACGTGTAAAATAATGTTTCGCTTTGTTTTATCTATTTTACAATAGTGTTAGAATTTTTGTTGTTGGTGTTGTTATTCAAAATGTCCCATAAGTTTTCAAATGCAGAATATGTAGATATCATTTTTATGTACGGATTCTGTAATGGGAATGGCAGAGCTGCAGCAAGAGAATATCATAGAAGATTTCCTGGTCGTCGAGTTCCCTGTCATTCAACATTTGCATCAGTTTTTAATTATTTGCGAGAACATGGCACATTCCCTGAAGCAAATACAGAACGAAATGTAGATCACGAGCAGGAAGATAATATTCTTGATGCTGTTATTGCGAACCCCACAATAAGCACCAGGAAAGTAAGTCGACAACTTTATGTTACCCAATCAAAAGTGACTAGAGTCTTACGAAAAAATAATTTACACCCATATCATATTCAATTAGTTCAGCGGCTATACCCTGGAGATGAAATCCATGGGTTGGAATTTTGTAGGTGGATTGCAAATCATAGACCAGTACTGTATTGAACATTGTTTACAGATGAAGCACAGTTTACAAGGGATGGGATAAATAATTCCCGTAATTTACATGTGTCGGCAGTAGACAATCCCCATGCTGTTCGAGAGTTTCGGTCTCAGTTAAGGTTTTCCGGGAACGTGTGGATTGGTGTGATAAATAACCAATTTATAGGACCTCACTTTTTTGATGGTCCTTTAAGAGAACAAGTTTACTTAGACTTTTTGCAAAATACTTTGCCTAATTTACTTGCCAACGTAGGTATCCGAAGGATGTATTTCCAACATGATGGAGCATCGCCTCATTTTTTAGCTGCGGTAAGAAACCATCTAAATAATGTTTTTGGCAACAGATGGATAGGACGTGCAGGTCCTATTTCATGGCCTCCAAGATCCCCAGATTTTAACCCCGTAGATTACTATATTTGGGGACGATTGAAAGAATTAGTTTATTCACAAAATATTAATGACCGACAACAATTAATTGATAGAATTATCCTTTGCTCTAATGTTATTAGAAACGATCCCTTGACTATCCGTAAATCAATAAGGCACTTAACGATTCGGCAACAAAGATACGTAGAAGCTGGAGGGTTTCATTTCGAACAACTACTGTAATTGTTAATTTATTACCATGATTTTATTTTCTAGTATACATGTTATCATTATTCTATGTATGTAGTATTAGTTTTTTTTTAAATTTCTTAGTTGTTCGTTATTCTAATTCGTTAAAATTTATTTATTGTTTGTTGATGAAATTTAAACGAAATAAAATATTTCTAATAAATACATATGAACTTATGTTTAATTTATTTGAGTCTCCAAAAATGTACAGGGTGATTTTTGTTTAAAAATTAATTAAAAATTTATAACTAGGCCTGGAAATTGAATAAAATGATATTAACGGTGTAGGCACTAAAGGCTTATGTTAGACTCGTTTTAGTTCAAATGTATACCATTAACAATTTTTTCTTTAAGTTATAACATTATAATGTGACCCCTTAAGTTGATTTTTCAGTTTTGCTCAAAATCAAAACTTAATAAAAAAATTAAAGAAAATGTGACAAAAATGTCACATACACAGTTTTGATTGTCTATCTATGTACTTTAAAAATATCTTATTATAATTTAAAAAAATCTTATACAGGGCGAACTTTTTGATATGAATCGTCGAGATTAATTTTTCCTAAGCCAATCCCGGAATTTTTAAATTTTGAGGATTTAAATTAAATGCTAGACACCAGTGTAAAGATCCTCCAAAAAATTAGAGAAATCTCTTTAAGTTATAACATTATAATGTGACCCTTTAAGGTGATTTTTCAGTTTTGCCCAAAATCAAAACTTAGTAAAAAAATTAAAGAAAATGTGACAAAAATGTCACATACACAGATTTGATTGTCTATCTATGTACTTTAAAAATATCTTATTATAATTTAAAAAATCTTATACAGGGCGAACTTTTTGATATGAATCGTCGAGATTAATTTTTCCTAAGCCAATCCTGGAATTTTTAACTTTTGAGGATATGAATTAAATGATAGACACCAGTGTAAAGCTCCACCAAAAAATTAAAGAAATCTAGTAATCCTTGTAGATTTTACGGCCATATAAAGTTTGGTCAAAATTCATATATTAATAACGAAGGGGAGTTGCCACTTTTTAATGCTCAAATGATATACCCCTTAAGGGACTCTACATATGGTAGAAGTCTGTAAGGTTCCTCATGACTCACCCTGTATATTGTTTATTTTTCCTTGCAGATAATATCTAGAAAAATAATATATAGTGCTACTCAAAAGTTTCCTCCCCTTCTTATATTTTGAGTAGTAATACCTACTTAGACTAATGCAATTTGGTTGGAGAAAATAAAGTTGTAACCTTCTCTACTAATAACAGCAACAGCTGAAATTATAGTTATAAGATGAAGTCGCAGAGTAAAGGGACCATCCGTCCTGATTTAGGCTGGGCAGTCCCGATTTTAAACCACTAGTACTGAGTTAACAAGTGTTCCGATTTTGTCCCATTTAAAAAATAATTATAAATATTTCATTTAAACCACCCAAAAATACAATTTTTATGGTAACGTGACTTAAACTATATAATTTTGTATCCAGCACATCAAAAAGAAATATTTCTCATAACAAATTTAAAATACAACAGACTAATTTATTAGGGTTTAGTTTTATTATTTGATAAATAATATTTAAGCTTTCTTGTTTCTTTGTCTGTTTTAATGTTGATGAATGGTCAGTTTTTATTTTCTACACCCCCTCCTTCGCCATATTGTCGATTTGTCCCGCTATCTACGTTTCAAAATATGGCAACTTTAAATGGGGCCTTATGATAAACGAGACCTCTTTTGAAAGGTATTTAAGATACTTATTCTGTCCTACTAATTTAGTTTGGATTTAGGGCAATTTTGATGGATAAACTACCTATATTAACATTAAAATTATATTTCCGGTAAACAAATAACATGTCTTTGTTATGACCGGTCGATTATATTTTTATTAATGCAGCACTACATAATATTATTATTTTTCCTTTATTTAGCAAAGCTAATAGCACATTACAACTAAATAAAATTAAAAAATATATATATCTAAAATATTGTGACGAAAGTCTAATTTATTTTTAGTTTCTTTATTTAAAAACACACCATTTACAATTTATTTCAGACGTACTATTTAATTTATATAATACTTAGACACTAACTAACAATTCTAATTTATTTCTTACACTTTATCTTTTCAATACAATGTTCTGTATTAAACTGTCTATAATCAACTCAACTCGGCGCTGATACGTCGGCTATTTAAATTAGTCCAACTCCGCTACTGGAAGACGCTAGAGGCTCTCGAACATTCCAATTCTATGACTAAACGGCACCCTCCCGCCGTTCCAGCTGTTTCTAGTGAATGAGCGCTAGGTATTCCGTATATTCGAGACGCGGTCCGACTGTTTTCACACGTCAGCGTTGCTTCGATCACGAGTCGGTTGCCATGTGAAGGTCGCGCGCATACACAGGGTCGGATTATGAATTTCATGACAATATCAAACAAAATATAACACTTATTTGAACACTAAAATATCACTGATGCTGGCTCATTAACTTATAATCTCCTAATTTATATTTAAAGGTATTAAATGAGGCGATATCTGAGTACCAGGGGTAACTCGTTATAAGCTTGAAGTCCTTTAAAAAATACTGCATTTTGGAATTATTTACTTGCAACTTGCGGAATATGAAAATTAGTTCTATAAGTGAAGCTGATACTGTTAAAATAGGAGTTCCCCAAGGTACTGTCTTGGGCCCTGTTTTATTTTTTAGTTTATATTAACTCGTTGCTCTCTTTAAGGACAGGTTCAATCACTGTGTCATATGCTGATGACACAGCTGTCTTATTTTGTGGGAAAAACATGGGCAGAGACCAAATTGTCGGTTGAGGTAGAACTGGAAAAGATTATAAATTGGTTAAACTTGTATCAGTTATCACTAAATATAAATAAAACTCGCTA